AAAAGAAGGTAGAAGTTACCGTATTTTTCGAACCATTATAAGGCACACTAAGTGAAAGAAAACAGTCAGACAAATCAAACTTTACTCAGTTCATTCTTCTTGCTTCCTCTACTTCCGTAAGCTACCATTGATGTTGAATTATCTCGCAGCTGTTCTATTCTCATGTTCTGGACCTGAAAACAGGGTTTGATCTTTGTTTTCATTCTATAATACTGCACCTATTTTTCTAGGAAGGTTTGAACTTTGAGGGTGTTTAAACAAGATACAAACGTGTGAAAATTGTCTGGCTGCTCCTGTCTTCTAAGACTTTAAGTTAGAAAGAAATACAAACTTTTCTGTTAATGTTCTGTAAAGGCAAAAAGACATTTATGCAATAATCATGATTTTTCTTTCACATCTGTTTTAAACCATGGACTTAAAGCCCCGACTGTGTCTGTATTAGTGTTTGAATGTATAAAAAGAATGAACAGGTGAAAGAGATCGGCTGCAGGCTCAGGAGAAGGAAAATAAACACCAGAAACAGAAAGAAGGCAAAACCAGAGATAGGATACTGTAAAAGAGTGAGACAGGAAAGAGTGGATATCGTTTGATTATATTCTAAAATTTATCGGTGAACGTTCCGACTGTGTGCTTCTCTGCAGATGTCAAGATCTACAGGAGTCGCTCTTGAGCTCAGCCAGTGGCTACAGCAACTACATAGGGATCCTCAACTGGTGTGTTGTCGTGCTGGTGAGTTAAACCTCAGTACATGTCCACGCAGAAATGAAAATGTACACCAGCGTGGCTTCCAAAACTGCATAAGATTTAGAAAGTAAGACCCTCATTCAGCTAAATCTTACAGGTCTGGACAGTCCTTGTTAGTCTTTCCTTCTGCCTCAATACTCACTGTACTGCCATCTAGTGGTGGCATACTAACATGTACAACTCCTTGTGTTTGTAAGCTGGAGCTATTTCAATTGACCATGGATCAAAGTTGGATCTGTAGTTATATCACTGTGGATTCATTTTAATACACCATAATGAATAAAATTAAATTAAATGATACTTGAAATTTAAATTCTTGTCCTTATTCCTCTGTCTGTGTTTTTTGAGGTGCAATTGTGGCACAGTTCAACGGGTCAGCAGTTAACACCAATGTCTCCTACTCAGGCAACCTCACAACAGTCTGCACAGTTAGTGTAGATGGACGCTTCTACCAACAACACAGAGCAAGAAAGTTAGTGGGTCAAAATATTTGCTGTGTAAATATTAACTTGTTAAAGTAGTTTACCTGGGCCAGCCCTAGTAGTCCTGTGTACACGTCGTTTCTCACAAGCTTGTATTCGTTTTCTAAACATTCAAAAGTTCCAGTACCAAAGTCAGAAGGTATAGCATCAAGTCATTAATGTGACACTCTGATGTGACCTGTTTGTGTGTTTGTCTTTAGACATGTACTTTTGTGATTTAAATTGGGTGAAATAACAATGTTGTGAAATAACAATGGTATTTGCACACTTTTCTAATGCTGCAGTTACTTCATTCACACCAGCAGACTCCTTCTTGCATCGAATTTGCGAAGTTGGCATGCCCCGTATAGCCGTTGCCATTCTGCTTCATTACCACATGCTGAAACCTTTGAGCCTCAAAATGCTGCCTGCAATAAATATATTTAGATTTGACTTCTAGTTTGTTTTCTGTAGTTGAATATTGTGTATCTCTCATTCTCTAAGATTCTTTAGTGAAAATCTGAAATTGTGATATGCCAAGTTAGAACATTTTACTTCTTTGAGTATATTGTGAAAAATATACTCAGCAAAAAAAATTGACCTAAGTCTGTGTCTTCCAGTGGAGGATCCCAAGTGTTCAGAACTCAATGAAACTGTTCCAGGTGTGTAAACACAGAGACACTCACTGCATCACTCACAGTGGCTCCAGGAATAAAGCAAGAGTCAAGAAATATTTGCCTGAAACTGGAGCGGCCTTCAAACATATTTAGATTTGGCTTATAAAGAAAAGGTATCCTTTTATTTGTTACTTCTTAAAGGAAATTGATCTTTCTAGGATGGTGGAGCAGCTGCTGAAAGCTGTGAGTATCAAGACTGCACATCAGAGACTTTTTCATTTATACGTCAGACTTGTTCTAAATTAAATACTTGACTTAATCCCTTGATTCTGGTGTTGTTGCCTGTTGTTTTTTGTATTGTTTTAACATTTTTGAAGTGAGATTTATACTGTCTCAAGAGTTACATTTGTTAAGCAACAGTAGTTCAACCTTACCAACCTAGACACCTTTTCCTCTCTCCTTTTCTAATCCTCCCCCTGGCTGCCTCCTCCCAGGTTTCTATCCATCTAATATATTCTTCTGTTGGTTTTGACATTCCTCTCTGAACTTTGTGGCAGAGCTGCTGCAGTTTGGAGACCGGGAGTTCTACAGGGACTGGCGGTGAGTCGTCAAGCATACATTTTCTGTGTGACTCCCGAGTTAATGTGATGGCGTGAATTGATGTACGTCCTGAGATTTGATTTTCACCCAGGTGTCATCCACATACCTGAACCAATGACTTGGTGGTGTTTCCATGGTAGGAAAACAAAGCCCTCTTTTCCACCTTTTCCATGTACAAATTGGCCACAATGAGTGAAACTGGGGAACCCATGGCACACCCATGTTTCTGCCTGTGGAACTGACCCATTGTTCCAAAAGCAAACACACTTGGCCGATGCTGAGAGTGTTCCTGTTGTTGAGGTTGGAATCATCCTGTAATCTCTTACCTCCAACGCTTCCATGACTGGGATGCAAGTGAAGAGAGATGTAACATTGTACAAGACCATTGTTTCATCTGCCTCCACAATGACATCTCTCACCTTCTCAACAAAATCCAAGGTGTTCTGGATGTGGTGTTCAGAGCTGCCTATCAACGGGTTGAGGATCCAAGCCAGAAAAATAGAGATGTTATAGGAATTTATGAATGAACATGTGTAG